ATGAGTGAGAACATGTGGTGTTTGGTTTTCTGTTCTTGCATTAGTTTGCTGAGGATGATGGCTTCCAGCTCCATCCATGTGCCTGCAAAGGACATCTCATTCCTTTTTATGGCTGCATAGTATTCCATAGTATATATGTACCAGATTTTCTTTATCCAGCCTATCATTGATGGGCATTTGGGTTGATTCTATGTCTTTGCTATTGTGAATAGTGCTGCAATGAACATATATGTGCATGTATGTCTATAATGGAATAATTTATATTCCTTTGGGTATATACCCAGTAGTGGGATTGCTGGGTCGAATGGTATTTCTGGATCTAGGTCTTTAAGGAATCACCACACTGTCTTCCTCAATGGTTGAACTAATTTGCGTTCCCACCAACAGTGTAAAAGTGTTCTGATTTCTCTGCAGCCTCACGAGCATGTGTTGTTTCTTGACTTTTTAATAATGGCCATTCTAACTGGCATGAAATGATATCTCATTGTGCTTTGATTTGCATTTTTCTAATCATCAGTGATGTTGAGCTTTTTGTCATAAGTTTGTAGGCTGCATAAATGTCTTCTTTTGAAAAATATCTGTTCATGTCCTTTGTCCGCTTTTTAATGGGGTTGTTTATTGTTTCTTCTTGTAAATTTGTTTAAGTTGTTTGTAGACTCTGGATATTAGACCTTTGTCAAATGGATAGATTGCAAAAATTTTCTCCCATTCTGTAGGTTGTCTGTTCACTCTTATGATAGTTTCTTTTGCTGTGTAGCTCTCTAGTTTATTTCCGTTTTGTCAATTTTTGTTTTTGTTGCAATGGCTTTTGACGTTTTTGTCATGAAATCTTTGCCTGTGCCATGTCGTGAATGGTATTGCCTAGATTTCTTCTAGGGTTTTTATGGTTTTGGGTTTCACATAAATGTCTGTCTTGCATACATTTTTTTAAATTGAAGTTTATTCTTGAAAGTTTGTGATATCCACAGTGTCCTAAATGCATGTAATTTCTATAACCAGTGTAAATTTAAGAAGGATTGGTCTTTTATTCAGGGGGATTAGTGGCTGCTGTGTTTCTCTTCCAATTGACCCACTGGAACCACATGAAAACTGGATTTTCAATTACCTTTGCTAAGAGAAGGGAACTGTGACATAGATTGTATGTATTCAATCTATGTTGAATTAGATGTATTAAAATACATCTAATTGTATTTTTGTTTATCTTTGGAATGCACTTTCTATTTCTATTTGAATCTGGGTGCCACAGGCATAACATGTCAGTGGAAAATCAAGAGTCATCTGCAGTTAATTAAATATGAAGGAGCAATATAATGATCTAGTAGCCCATCTCAGAGTAGCATTCAGTCAAGCTTTTAGATCTCCATAATAAATTAATCATTCTGCATGACACCAGTGGGAGAAATTCCACCCTGACCCCATCAAAGTGATGCATCCCACTTGCACCTTACTGTAGCAGAATTGGTGGCCCTTGTAATCTTGTCCCAGAAAATGAGACTGCTGATATTATTGTTTTATTTCACATTTTTAAAAAGTTCTGCTAAGCTTCTTTTGCTACAGTCATTTACTGCCACTGGGATTTTTGCAGAAGGTTAATAGTACTAATAAAATGAATGGCAAAACACCAAAGAGAATCTTGAAGGAATAGTCTGTAATTCTTTATTTGGTCAGGGCAAAAGACCCTGCAAGGTATTACAATCTCCATTTTGGGGTCAAGGCCACCTTCAACCTTCCAAATTGTTCTTCATCCTCTAGGACCAGTATTTATTGTCTCTCTTCCTGTCACTCCAAGGCTTCTCACTGTATTGGGACCTCATAGAGTTGTTTCCTACAACATCCCAACCCACTACTTAGACAAGTTGTCATCTCTGGCTGCCATTACAGTCACATGTGGAGCTTTTAAAAAATACCTGTGCCTGGACCTTTCCTCAGACCAATCAAACCAGAATCTATTGCTTTGGAGCAATACATCAGCTTCCCAGGTGGTCCTCCTAATTGGGCCACAGTTGAAGATCACTGGCCTGGATAAGGAGCTCCAAATTCTGGCTTCCTGTGCAGCTGAAAGGTGGCCTGGCTCCCCACCTAAGTTACTTGCTCATCCAATGACTGAGTCCACTGGAGGCTTTGAGTACCTGGGAACATTTTGCTTCCCAGGCAGCATGCAGCAAGCACAGCCAGAGAGCAGGGCAGATGGTCACTTTTGGTGACCAATGCAAGAAGCAAGGAGCAGGTGAGGTATTTGTTTTTCAATTTCATCCCCAATTAAAATTCAGAATTTTGAATAATGTTTGAATGTTTTAGTCTATTCATCATTCTCCATGTGTCACTTAAGAATAATCCATAATAAATAATACATTTTTCTAAGCTTTGTTAAGATGGGTATGTGATTAGAACTGATACATTCCAATGTTGACTTTGGCTTTCACTGTGGGTTCTGAAAAAGTCATTTATGTTCTTGTGGAACTTCTGCTACTTCATATATTATCTCTTTGGAGATAATAAGGAAAGTAGCATTTAGTGAGCACCTGTTGTAGGCTTGTACTAGTACTATTTGTCTAGTACTATTCTAGACACTGACATATACTATTGAAATCATTGACAGTTTTGGCTGGCCGGGCGCAGTGGCTCACACCTGTAATCCAAGCACTTTGGGAGGCCGAGGTGGGCGGATCATGAGGTCAGGAATTCAAGACCAGCCTGACCAATGTGGTGAAACCCCGTCTCTACTAGAGGTGCAAAAATTAGCTGGGCGTGGTGACACCTGCCTGTAGTTCCAGCTACTGAGGAGGCTGAGGCAGGAGAATCGCTTGAACCCGGGAGGCGGAGGTTGCAGTGAGTCAAGGTTGCACCATTGCACTCCAGCCTGGGTGACAGGGCAAGACTCCATCTCAAAAAAAAAAAAAAAAAAAAAAAGGAAAAGATAGGTCATCAGACTGCTTGGACTCATCCTGGCTCAGTCACTTACTAGCAAATAAACTCAAATCACAGATTTGTTGTGGATTTTAAACAAGAAAATGTCTATAAAGGGTATAGCACTGTGCTTGGAACAATGTGAATTCTAAAAAAAAAGTGTTAATTTGCATCGTGTTTTTTTTTTTTTTTTTTTGGTTCTCACAATACTGTGAGTAGGTATCATTATCCATTTTAGAGATGAACAAGTCTCAAAATGAACTAATTATCCATGGGCATAATCAATCTCAGGCATATTGTCAGGAGGATGGAAAACTTACCTTTCAGAATTGTTGGAAAATAAAATAAATAATTTCAGAACGTGTTACCTAGTCTGGGAGATAGTTAACCTGCAAAGCCAGACTCTATTTTGATGTTGGAGAGACAGTGATGTACAAGACAGACAGAAGCCCTGTCCTTGCTGAGTGGACCCTAAAATCTCCATCTGACTTTGACACTATCACGCAGTGTACACACAGGCCTTTTGATGGCATGGTCTTTACCAGAGATGTATACTCTTTCTGAGTTAACAGAAAGTTCTACTCTCTTATCTTAAGCAGTCCTGAAATTTGGGCCAATCATAAAATAATGAAAAATGGAGCATCACCAGACGAGAACTTTGCTCTCCAGGAGCCCTCTGGGAACATTTCCCTCGTTTCCCACAGCCAGGGACCCTGGTGCCAGCAGGAGGAGAAACGGATGCCATCAGTGCTTTAAGATGGCAAATGCAAGCTTTATTCTACCGTCATAACTCCCTGGATCAATGCTGACCTCCCAGCCACCCTCCAAAATGTTCTCCCATTGTGTATTCAGGTGTGGTGGCTGGTGAGTACCCAGACCACTAATTTACATAAAGGCCAGGAATGGATTCATTTAGATTATTTCCAAGCAATGAATTGATTAAGAAAAAAGCAACTGCAGGCAATACATGAATTCATTGGACATTACTTCTCTGCTCATCACTTCTCCTCTGCTGTTCTTGAATTCAATCATTCATATAACATTTCTTAAGTACCTCCTCTATGCCAGGTTTTATATAGTCTCTGGGGACACAGAGTTCATCCCGAGATGTTGGTAATCTTGAAAATGTCTCAAGAAGGCCGGCCTTGTGTATTTGAGAACAATCCAAAATACTGTTGAGATACAAATATAACATTTATATTCTTTGATGTCTCTAGTTACCTAAATTTCTGGATAACTTTTCATGCAGCTTGTTAGGAGAGTCACTTCATTCCTGTACAATCGGGACTATGGTTATAACATCATCACCTCCATGCCAAAGCCTGGCTGGAAATACCAGCATTCTTACAACGGAAACTTGTCTTCAGGCCAGGCTGCTAGGAGCTGTTCTTTGCTTTTCCTGAACCATAATTAATTTATAGTCTATCATTTCAAAGGAGAATGACTCTGTAGAATTTGGACTAACTGCAATCTCCCAAGATTGAAGATGTACCAACATAGTTTTATGATTTACTATTGCTCCATTTTCTTCTTTGACATGTTAAATTTCTGCATATAATTACTGCAAAGGGAAGAAATAGACTTAGAAATAGACTAAGAGTCAGTGCATAAAAAGAGAATCTATGCATAGTCCTATGGGTGATGCAAAAATATCCTGTCCACTTGGTACAGCTATAAATTTTCTTTAGGAAAAGGACATTATAGTTTTTTTAAAGCTGAAATCAGTTGGTATCTATCAGGCACAGGTAAAATAAGCTAATCCTATATGTAAATCTGTAAATCTACAGAGAAACATGAAAACTGGGTAAATTTGAGTGTAATATGGTTGGGAACTTTTTAAATCTTTGGGTTTTTGCTAAATTATTCCTTACATATTCCCTCAGTTTTAATTTTTCTGTATTTTAAAAACTTATTCAAAAGCACATGAATCATTTTATATTCCTCTTTGAGTTTTTATTAATGATATTTAATACTCTAAATGTCATGAAGTTCACACATACCTCAAGAGGAAGAATTTGAAAGGACTGTTGCCATATATCTTTCATTCTTTTTTCAACGTATTGTCTTGTTTTCACTAAGAGAGTTTCTTTGCCTTGCCATGCAATTAAAATGTATTTTCCAGCAGATTCTGACAGGTCTATCAGCACACACTGTGTTTTTTATGTACAGATAGAACCAGAGTTACTCAAAATTATTACTGTTTGGGGGAGAACAATTCACTGAACCAGCGAAAAATATATCCCTGCACAAAGATAAAGATTTGACATTAGCTTTTCACAGATAAAAGAAAGTATAAAGGAGGTCACATTGACTTTCAAACTTCTTGACAGTAGTGCTTTTCCAGAGACTTCTTATTCATAGTAACTTACTGTGGAAAACCAAAAGATAAATAAAAAAGAAATAAAAATATATATTTAAACATATACTATATTCTAGACACTGCACAAATATTTCACCAGAAAAAAATTTTCAATCTTAATAATAGTCCTATTTTAGAAGAAGATATTGAAAATATTTAAATTTGCTTTAAAAATCAGAAATTGCCATTTAATCCTAGTGTCACACGGAAGGTGTCTAATTTTATTCTAAGACTGTATTATTTTATCTACATTAACTATTCAATACATTTACTACAGGAGTTCTTCAAAAAACAAAATGACTAAGGCATAGTAATGCCTATTGGTTTTAACAGCCCTGGAAACTTTATTGTGAGAAATAATTTTAAACATTTAAAATGTCAGCAGGAGAAAATATGAGGAATTTTGACCAAGACGTTCAGGACAAAATATTAAGAAAATGTAAACAGTGCCTCTTTTTCATCTTCAAAATGTAGAAAGAGCTGTGATTTGTGGAAACTCTTGTTCATCAACAGATTTTCTAGTAACAAGAATATTTTTAAAGTAAATTTTGCTTCTGATTATAAAAGTAATAATATTTATTTCAATAATGTGGGTCAAAAAACTAAAATACTTAGAGAAGAAAAAATTTATCTAAGGACTTTTTGGCTTTATTTTATTTTAAATTTTCCTATGAGGCTCAAGGTGCTAACTTAATCAGTTTGGGGGTGTCATACATACATCAGGAAATTTAAGGAGATTAAGTCATTAATTTAAGTTACTACATACCATAAATTCTAACATCCAAGTATGGAGAGTAGTTCATTGTTTCTAGGGTTAGATTTAGTGCACCGAAATTTCATTCCTGTTTTGCCCACACAGCCTCTAGAGAGCAATGTCAATCCTTGCAGTCTGCTTTATTACACAGAACTGCCTCTTCTAAACTTCACATCCCCACCGTTCATCCTATTTCCATTGTCATTTCCTTGTCTTTAAACTGTACTGATCAGACTAATGGAGAAACAGAACAAAATGGTTCTAGACAGATTTGCCCTGAAACAAATCTTAAAACAAAATGGAGCTAGCAGTATCCCTTGGCACTGAAATACATAAATCTTAAATCTAAGAAAGAAAGAAATATCAAATATCTGTACATCTCTATAAGCATCATGAGGAACTTTAATCAATCCCGGACGTTTAACCCTCAAAACCTCAAGCTATGCACAGGCATTGGAAGGTCAGCCTTCAATTCTCACAGGTTTTTCTGGGAGGCTCAGCCAGCCAGCCCCCCACCCCGCTAGCCTTTCCTAATGAAAGACTGGACTCCCCTCTCCCTCTGCCCTCCCAGCTGCAGACAGCCTGCCCGAGGATCCCTTCAACAGTGATCACGTGTCATTGTTGCCCAGCTCTCTGCCCTGATCCAGAGTTCTTAAAAGGGTTTTAGGGCTAAAAGTCGAGGATGGCTCTGTGCATGAGGTTGGAGGCAAGCTCCTCAGATGGCAAAAAACCTGAGATAAATCCTGATCTTAGGTGGGACTGAGAGAATCTGAGAGCAGGGAGGTGGTCCAGGGCAGTGAAGGCAAACATACGGAGTTCTTCATCTAGACAGCCAGTTTTGGGGCAGAGATAGGTGCAAAGCTTTTTTAAAAAATTTCATTTTTAGTTCCGGGATACATGTGCAGGATGTGCAGGTTTGTTACATATGTAAACGTGTGCCATGGTGGTTTGCTGCATCTATCAACCCATCACTTAGGTACTAAGCACCACATGCATTAGCTATTTATCCTGATACTCTCCCTCTCACTGCCAACCCCTCAGCAGGCCCCAGTGTGTGTTGTTCTGCTAAACAATGGGAACACAAAGCTTACCATAGGGAAGGAAGGTTAGTGGGGAAGGCATTCAGCAGAGGGAAGAACATGGGCAGATTGTAAAGCAGGATGCTGTTACAAGCATTTAGAGCAAACTCCGGGCCATACCATTTGGCTGGAGCAGAGCACAGGGGCTGCGGGGAGGTAAACGAGCATCATCACCAGGAATCAGCATGGGGCTGTGGAGCGCCCGCTAAGCAGCTGTGGCAAGTCACTTCTTACCACTCACTGTCACTTCCTTATTTCCTCAGGTGAGGAAAACAGATGGAATCATTCGGACCCTGCAGTTGTGATAGGGATTAGAGCTGATGTATTTAAAGCACCTAGCACCGAAGGAGATAGAAAAGCATGATGGATCTACATCGTGGAGGCTGAGGATGTCTTTCTCATTTGGCCGTAGATTCCTATTTTATTAAGTGCTGACACAGCAACTTTAAATAGTGGAAAGGGTTCTAAGTAATATTTAATCCTTACACACACACACACACACACACAAACACAGATATTATTTTTTACTTGTAAATGGAGATGCTGCTTGCACTTCACCTACATGAGGAGGCCCACCTTTACCTCTCCTGGCCTTTACCATTTCCTTACCTACTTTTATTGCTATTTCAAGCTCTTCTGTAAAGGGCAGGTGTGAAAGCATCCCACCCCCACCACCTTGAGGACCTGGGTGGTTCTTGCAAGAAAAGGTAATGAAAGTAAAAAAGAAAAGGCTAAGTTGCTATCACATTTGTCAACTCTGGCCAGATGCTCATTAGCAACATGCTAGAAGCCAAAAATGAAAGACCAGGCTGCAGCTTGGATCCAAAAATAAGGGCCAGGCTCTGTGTGAAATACTGACAGATGCAAGCCAGAACAAGGAAGAATGCTTTGTTTGCGTCATTTGAAAAAGAACACGTCCAGGCACCCAGACACAGGTCTTCATGCAGTTTATCTTAGTGGCCACAGTAGGGTTGCTCAGAGCATTTTTTTGCCTCCAAATCGTATGGGATGCTTGATAAACATACAGATGCCCCAATTGCAGCTCATATCTGCAGAATAAGAATCTGTGTGGGGGTTCTGGGGGATTTGAACGCACCCTGAAGAGTAAGACCTGTTGATCTGAGATTGGGAATTAATGCTGAAGCTATGATGGAGGCTGGTAAGCACTTAGGAAATTAATTTCACTGCATTCTCCTAAAAATCCTGTGAACTAGTTGTGATTATTACCATTACCATCCCATCTTGCTGGAGAGTGGTGGAGTCAGAACTTTAGCCCAAGCCTCCTGATGTCCCCCTCCTTACTTAGCCCTTCACTCTAAGCCTCACCAGCAAGAGGGTATCTTCATTCCATGCCCTTCAATTAGTAGAGAGTGCCAAGGGCAGGAAGCCAATTCTTCACCTCCATCACCTGTCTTTACATCCCAGCACCATCATGGGCCTTCCCCTCAGGCCAGATTTCTAAGAATTTGGTTCTGTTTGTTTTGTTTTGATTCTGCATGAAGTAAAGAAGGTTAAGGTAACTGTGTAACTTACCTCTCTTATTGAAATAACAGCGCCCTCTCTATACCGTCTTGTGATTGCCAGGGCGCAGGAGCATGTCTGCTGGATTTAAATCCCAACTTTTACTCCATCACTTATTAGTTATTTAAACTATGGGCATGTCATTTAACCTCTGGAAAATGGAGATGGCACAACTTGAGTAAAAGAAGAAGAAAGGCAAGTCAGGGTGTAAAGAAAAGGATGGACTGGGTGCAGTGGTTCACGTCTGTAATACCAGCACTTTGGGAGGCTGAGGTGGGCAGATCACAAGGTCAGTAGTTCAAGACCAATATGGCCAATATGGTGAAACCTCGTCTCTACTAAAAATACAAAAATTGGCTGGGCACGGTGGCATGTACCTGTAATCCCAGCTACTCAAGGAGGCTAAAGCAGGAGAATTGCTTGAACCTGGCAGGCGGAGGTTGCAGTGAGTCGAGATCGTACCACTGCACTCTGGCCTGGGTGACAGAGCAAGACTGTTCTCTGAAACAAAAACAAAACACAAAGGAAAAGGATGAGATGCTACTAGTATGAGAAGAATCTAAACTGTGCTTCTCAACCCTGACTGCGATTAGAATTATCTGAGGATCTTTTAAAAATACTGATGCCAGGATTCCATTCCCAGAGATTCTGATTTAATTGGGGTCTGGTGAGGAATCAGGTCAGCAGTACCATTTAAATCTCCCCAGGATATTCAAATGCACGGTTGTGGTTAAAAACCTCTTGTTCAAGGTAGTGAGGAAAACAACCAACGTTCCACAAATGCTCTCTGGTTAGAGACAACTTTTCTTAGTAAGGGTGAGAATGCTTACTGATTGAACAAACAATTATTACCTACCTACCCTGTGCCTGGCTCCAGGGCAATGGCTAAAATTTAAAATTTAAATTAAACTTAAACTCAGTCCCTGATCCCAGGACAGTTGCAGTCTAATGAGGAAGTCATAGGCAAAAATAAACTATGTAGTTACAATATAATGTGGTCAATATGGTAATAGCAGTTAGTTCAAAGTGGTAGGAGAAGAGTAAATGGAATGACTTCCTATCCTTTCGAAGAAAAACCATAGACTCATGAAATAATAGAGATGAAGGAAGCTCAAGGTTCCTAATTTTGTGCATAAGGAAACAAGAAATCGAGACGTTGGAGGTTTCTCAGAGCCACAGAGTTAATGCAACAGAACCTAAAAAATTCTAATGATGTAGCAAGACATACTTTAACTCACCAGGGGAAGTGCTAAGAAGCTACAGCTTAGCAGCACTGGACTCTGACGCTGGAGTTCTGGGTCCTGAAGAATAAGTAGAATTTGGACAAAAAGGCATGGGGAAGTTCACATTTTCAGTGGAAGGCTCAGCCCATAGCTCAGAGGAGAAAGTGCTCACCCGGGTAATAACCTGGAGCTTAAGGATCTCAGGTGGTGGCCAAAAGCTTAGGACTCCCTCCTCCGCATCAACTCTAGTTTTGGACTTACACCTATTTCTTGCTGGATATACAATTTAGAGGAATGTTCCCACCTCCAGTTCCACTCCTCTTTGGGGGTTACTCTATACAACTGAGATATTGAACATGTTAATTTTGCCTGGTGTATTGCTTAATGTCAATGTGACCTAGGGTTTGAATCTCTTATCTTAAATTATTTAGCTATGTAACAGATTAACACCTCAAAACAGATGAAATATCTCTCAATTATGACTACATTTGGTCAGTCTTGACTACATTAAGCTGAAGTTCACATATGCTCTGTTTACCAACTTAAAATTATTAAATCCATATTGAAATGTGTTGAATTGGCTCTCCATTCTCCCACGCTCTGACCTTGGTGTTCTCCTAGAGGTTTCACCTTCTCTCACACCCTACATCCTTTTACATCAGTAAATACTATTGCCTCCTCTTCAAAGTTTATCCAAAATTCAACCACTCCTCATCATCCTCACTACCAAGTAAAGAAGGTTAAGGTAACTATGTAACTTACCTCTCTTATTGAAATAACAGCGCCCTCTCTATACCGTCTTGTGATTGCCAGGGCGCAGGAGCATGTCTGCTGGATTTAAATCCCAACTTTTACTCCATCACTTATTAGTTATTTAAACTATGGGCATGTCATTTAACCTCTGGAAAATGGAGATGGCACAACTTGAGTAAAAGAAGAAGAAAGGCAAGTCAGGGTGTAAAGAAAAGGATGGACTGGGTGCAGTGGTTCACGTCTGTAATACCAGCACTTTGGGAGGCTGAGGTGGGCAGATCACAAGGTCAGTAGTTCAAGACCAATATGGCCAATATGGTGAAACCTCGTCTCTACTAAAAATACAAAAATTGGCTGGGCACGGTGGCATGTACCTGTAATCCCAGCTACTCAAGGAGGCTAAAGCAGGAGAATTGCTTGAACCTGGCAGGCGGAGGTTGCAGTGAGTCGAGATCGTACCACTGCACTCTGGCCTGGGTGACAGAGCAAGACTGTTCTCTGAAACAAAAACAAAACACAAAGGAAAAGGATGAGATGCTACTAGTATGAGAAGAATCTAAACTGTGCTTCTCAACCCTGACTGCGATTAGAATTATCTGAGGATCTTTTAAAAATACTGATGCCAGGATTCCATTCCCAGAGATTCTGATTTAATTGGGGTCTGGTGAGGAATCAGGTCAGCAGTACCATTTAAATCTCCCCAGGATATTCAAATGCACGGTTGTGGTTAAAAACCTCTTGTTCAAGGTAGTGAGGAAAACAACCAACGTTCCACAAATGCTCTCTGGTTAGAGACAACTTTTCTTAGTAAGGGTGAGAATGCTTACTGATTGAACAAACAATTATTACCTACCTACCCTGTGCCTGGCTCCAGGGCAATGGCTAAAATTTAAAATTTAAATTAAACTTAAACTCAGTCCCTGATCCCAGGACAGTTGCAGTCTAATGAGGAAGTCATAGGCAAAAATAAACTATGTAGTTACAATATAATGTGGTCAATATGGTAATAGCAGTTAGTTCAAAGTGGTAGGAGAAGAGTAAATGGAATGACTTCCTATCCTTTCGAAGAAAAACCATAGACTCATGAAATAATAGAGATGAAGGAAGCTCAAGGTTCCTAATTTTGTGCATAAGGAAACAAGAAATCGAGACGTTGGAGGTTTCTCAGAGCCACAGAGTTAATGCAACAGAACCTAAAAAATTCTAATGATGTAGCAAGACATACTTTAACTCACCAGGGGAAGTGCTAAGAAGCTACAGCTTAGCAGCACTGGACTCTGACGCTGGAGTTCTGGGTCCTGAAGAATAAGTAGAATTTGGACAAAAAGGCATGGGGAAGTTCACATTTTCAGTGGAAGGCTCAGCCCATAGCTCAGAGGAGAAAGTGCTCACCCGGGTAATAACCTGGAGCTTAAGGATCTCAGGTGGTGGCCAAAAGCTTAGGACTCCCTCCTCCGCATCAACTCTAGTTTTGGACTTACACCTATTTCTTGCTGGATATACAATTTAGAGGAATGTTCCCACCTCCAGTTCCACTCCTCTTTGGGGGTTACTCTATACAACTGAGATATTGAACATGTTAATTTTGCCTGGTGTATTGCTTAATGTCAATGTGACCTAGGGTTTGAATCTCTTATCTTAAATTATTTAGCTATGTAACAGATTAACACCTCAAAACAGATGAAATATCTCTCAATTATGACTACATTTGGTCAGTCTTGACTATATTAAGCTGAAGTTCACATATGCTCTGTTTACCAACTTAAAATTATTAAATCCATATTGAAATGTGTTGAATTGGCTCTCCATTCTCCCACGCTCTGACCTTGGTGTTCTCCTAGAGGTTTCACCTTCTCTCACACCCTACATCCTTTTACATCAGTAAATACTATTGCCTCCTCTTCAAAGTTTATCCAAAATTCAACCACTCCTCATCATCCTCACTACCACCACCTTGGACCAAACCACTGTCATGTCTCACCTGGATTATAGGAACAGCCTCCTAACTGGTCCCCCACGTTTCAGCCTCGCCTCTGCAGTCTATCCTTAGCACAATAGCAGAGTGTTCCTTTTAAAAGAAAGTCAGATTATGTCACTTCTGTATTCAAACTTCTTCATTAGCCTTTCCTAGGTCCTTCCTATGATTGACATGACATGATCTGGCCCCCATGAACCTCGCCTTCTCTTCTCTGGCCACACTGGCTTCCTCCTTGTCTTTGCTCATGCTGAGCAAGCCCCTACCTCACTGCTCCCCACAATTGGAACACTCTCCCTCCAGATAAGCGCCTGGTGAACCCCTTCACTTTCTTTAGGTCTTTTCCTGAAAGCTCCTTTCTTAGTGAATCTTATCTGGCCACCCTATCTAAAATTTCCATACTGATCCCTAGACATTTCATATGCTGTATCCCTGCTTTATAAAATTGATTCTCTAACATTCATCAATAAACACTATGTATTTTATTTTACATTTTATTTGTAAAATTAACATTTATAAATACTATATATTTAACTTATTTTTGTTATTCCTTTTTCTTTACCATATATCTGTTTCATGATGGGAGAAATAATTACCAGTTTTCTCACTGTTGCATCCTGATAAACTAAGTACAATACCTGGCACATGGTAGACTCAATAAATACTTGTTGAATGAAAGAGTGAGGAAATGTTAACTGTGGCATAATTAATATTAATATTACAATTGCATTCATATATTATCTTCTTGATAACTATAATAATATATTCAAACCATAGGCTGACCAACCTGCAATATAGAAAAGGAAATCACCAATTTTATAATGTTAAGATGATTTAGACCCAAATTAAGGGACATTCTGCAAAATACTTGATTAGTACTCTTAAAAGTGTCTACATCATGAAAGACAGACTGAGGAACTGTCACAGATTGGAGTCAGTTAAGAAAAAATACAATTAAATGCAATGTTGGATGCTGCAGAAGATCCTGGAAGAGAAAAAAAGACAATGAAATTCCAAAAAGGTCTGTTGTGTTAGTACTGTACCCATGTTAATTCCCTGGTTTTGATAATTGCACTACAGTGATGTAAGATATCGAAATGATCTCATCTAAATGTCTAAATATCCTTTATACTCAAAACAAGGCAGTCATTTAAATGATAAACATGTTTTTTGAATGAATACGCAGGAAGCAATTAGCCTGATAATCACCAAAAGATAATGATGTAACCAAGATAGATGTGTGCGGGTGGGCAGTTTTCTTCTTTCTACCTTTCGTCCATCCTTTTTCTCTCTTTTTTTGTTTTTTTTT